ATTATTTTTAGCAAGATCTATTTGAAAAAATTTGCTTCTACGAAATTAGTACTTCATTAATTGTGAGATTTGTTCTTCATTAGTTATACAGTGAAATACGTTCAAAGAAAATTGTCGTTTCTACTTAACGTGTAGTACCATTTTAGTCTTGGTTACAACAATAAAACAAAATTCAGTATCACATCGTTTTACAATTATTTTCAGAAACTAAAAAGAGAGATTAGAATTTTTACGGACGCGGAGATCACAATATGAGAGCAAACAGACCACACTGTTGTTTAATATTATTATCTACAGATGCCATCGATTTTTGACCGCGCGTTAATTAATCGTGAATAATTCTTCTGGGGAACGGGTTCAGGCTGAGTAGGGAATGCATTATTGCCCTGATCTTATTATCTCGATCCCTCTTCTTGCCCTGAAGCTTGCATAACTACAGTAGAACCTTATCTTTTGTTGCAAGTTTCGAAGCGACACGGATTATTTTTTCTCTCTGTGTGTGTGTGTGTGTGTGTGTGTGTGTGTGTGTGTGTGTGTGTGTGTGTGTGTGTGTGTGTGTGTGTGTCGCGAGTCAATGGCCTGAGAAGCGTTTCGTAAATAAATAATGGATACGTAATACTGTCTGTGACGATGACGATAAAGAATCGAGTATGAGCCTACTGCAGTTGACGCCCTCCTTCTCCCCCTCCCACACACACACACAAAAGCGGTGTCTATGAGACGATACACAATGTGACACCGTACTGAATGCTGGCGCTCGACAGAATGATGAAATTGAAGAAACCGACAATTTTTCTGCCTATTGCACAGTTTTATGGAATTTTTTTTTCTTTTTTTTTCTTGGGAAAGGGGAGGGGGGGGGGAGGCTTGACACCTATTATGCCCATTTAAAAGACCAACACATTTCTGTGTGGATTTTGCTGACGATCTATTGGACAGTTTTATGGAATTTGTTTATTTTCTTCTTTTTTTAAAATACCTATTATACCCATTTTAGTGGACGTTTCTGAAAATCGTTGATCAAAGTCATACCAAAAAAAAACTACCAAAAAACCCCAAAACCACCACCACCAACAACAACAACGTCAACAAAGAAACAAAAAAACCCAACAACAACAACAGCAACAACAACAACAAAGAAACAACAACAACAGCAACAACAACAACAACAACAGCAGCAGCAGCAGCAACAACAACAACAACAAAGAAACAACCAAATTTGTAATTTCCAAGGACACTAAGACTCATGCTTTGGAAGTCATCAACCACACTTTGGTGGTAATTTCCTCCCTAATTTTACCTTTTCAACCACGAGACCCCCATCTCCTTACATCGCAAATCTCTCGACTTCGACAAAATAAAATGGATAGTTTTGGGGGTTTTTCATCTAAAGCAAGACAAACGATCAAGCTTTAAGGTAACGCTAATTATTCCATATTAAAAGCAAAGTTGTTCCTGCATCCGATCCGGACATTGGGGATTGCCTTGTTAGTGAGACAACTTCCTTCAGCATATTGTGGTAGGGTGGCCAGTTCCTTTCCACGCCGCCTTTACTTCCCCAACTCGAAGTCAGGTACCCATTACTGCTGGGTGGGCAGTTCCTTTCCACGCCGCCTTTACTTCCCCAACCTGAAGTCAGGTACCCATTACTGCTGGGTGGGCAGTTCCTTTCCACGCCGCCTTTACTTCCCCAACCTGAAGTCAGGTACCCATTACTGCTGGGTGGGCAGGAGGGGGCAAAAAAAATCCGTGTCCGAACCGAGACTCGAACTTTCCGCTTTGGAGACGAGCGCAAGCTTTGAAGTAATGCTAATAATTCCATACTATGCCCCAAAAACTGACGAGTGCCTGATTCCACCTTGATGTGATACTGATACTATCGAGGTTTGAATTGATTTTCTCTCTTATTGATTTCTATAGGGTGAGTTGTACGCTCTTTTAAAAAATATGATGGAACTTGGGGGTTGAAGAGAGAGGGGATTTCTCACCAAAGCCTATTTGTAACTGCTCTCTCTCTCTCTCTCTCTCTCTCTCTCTCTCTCTCTCTCTCTCTCTCTCTCTCTCTCTCTCTCTCTCTCTCTCCCTCTCCCTCTCTCTCTCTCTCCCTCTCCCTCTCTCTCTCTCTCTCTCTCACTCACACCCCCACACACTCATTCACATGTACACACACACACACACACACACACACACACACACACACACGCACACACACCCACACACAAACACACGCATGAAAGTACACTCACGAACACATTCACCAACACACACAAACACACACACACACACGTGACGTTTTTGGACCCTTGTTCGTTTTCTTTAAAATACAAGGAGAGTTTTCTCTATAACCAAACAAATATACACACCAAAGAAACCAAACTCCACCTATAGTATGAAGGGCAAATCCCACTTTTGGTGTTGATCAAGATTTCTGGAAAGCCACGAAATCTGGGTTAGCCAGTTTGTCCTCAAAAGCGACCATATGACCTTATTGTGTTGCAAGTGCCGTAAAACTCTCCCCTAAACACTGCCAACATTGACCAGTCATGTCCACTCTCTCTACAGTGGCATCTGGAGCCTAGTGGTTAGGCTACAGAAGCCGTAATCGTGAGATTGCAGGTTTGGGGGTTCGAGCCTCAGTTCGGTCCGGCGTTGTGTCCTTGGAAAAGACACTTTACCCGAATGTCCCACTTGGCTCGGTCCTTTCGAAAACAGACGTTAAACTCGGAGGCCCCAACTCTTAAATAACCTAATAGTGTTGATAGGGGCGTTAAACCCATACCATTTCACATGTTCCACTGTCTGTACCGCCTAGGTTCCGTCTGGTGTCCGGCTCCCACGACCACCCCAGCGACATCTTCCCCGCGTCCACGGTGGTGGAGGTCCTCACAGAGCAGGCAGCCTTCTCGACAATACAGGTAAGTCTGGACAGATTAGCAACAATACAGGTAAATCTGGATGTGTACATATGTGTATGAGCTTGTAAATCTGGACAGAATATCGAAAATACAGGAAAATCTGGATGTGTACATCTGTGTCGGAGCTTGTACATCTGGACAGAATATCGACAATACAGGTAAATATCTGGACAGAATATCAACAATAAGTGGGTGGTTGGCGGGTGCTCTGGTGTGGTTTGCACCTTCTTTCCTATCAAACATCTATCGTCCTGATCGCTTCTCCTTCTTTTTTGTATTTGTTACTCCCCTGTAACACCTCTAATCTTCGGCTCTTATGTGACCTTATTGTGTTGCAAATGCCGTAAAACTCTTACGAAAACTAAAACTAGCAACAATACAGGTAAATATCTAGATAGAATATCAACAATACAGGTAGATCTAGATGTGTACATGTGTGTATGATCATGTATGTATGTGTATATAAGTACATGAATACATGGATATGTATGTACATGTATATATTAAATATGGATATTATGTACGTGTATATATGTATGTTTATATGTATACATATATGTATGTCCCTGGCCACATCCTCCAATTTCGGCACATCCAGGCCCTGGGTGAATGCTTCATCTCTCATTGTGCCTCTATAGGTTCCAATTGGTCTTCCCCGTTTTCTTTTTCCCAGTTGTCTTCCAATACCATGTCTGATAGGACAATCTTGTCTTTGGTATTCTAAGAACATGTCCCAGATATCTCCATCTTCTCCTTTTTATGGTCGTGTTGATATCTTCAATTCCAGCTCTTTACAACACTTCATTATTTGTAATGAATTTATTCCATTTTATTAGTAAAATTTTTCGCATACATTCTGTTTGGAAGCTTTTTAATCTATCCTGCTATTATTATTATTATTATTACTACTATTATTATTATTGTTATTATTATTATTATTACTATTATTATTATTATTATTGTTATTATTATTATTATTATTATTAATATTATTATTATTATTATTATTATTATTATTATTATTATTATTATCGTTGTTGTTATTCTTAATATTATTATTATAATTATTATTATAACTATTATTATTATTATTATTATTATTATTATTATTATTATTATTATTATTACATTAATGTTCTCTCCCTCCCAGTCCACCAACTCCACGTTTGCTCACGTGACCAAATTCAACCCAGTGGGCGTGGCGGAAGCCAACTCCACTTCCGCTCTGGGCAAGATCCACACTTTCCGGATACGCGTCACGGAGGTCATACAAACGTGGGTCATTCTCAAACAAATCGGTGAGTGGTCTTTTGTTTTAGCAAGGTTTTATGGCGCTCGCAACTGCATAAGGTCATATGAGCGCCAAGGGGTGGGTGTCAGCAGAGAAGTCCTTACAGGGAATCAGACTTACTCTGCTCACCTCTCTAGCCTCAACAGCACAAAGTCTGCTTCGACTATCAAGGCACCCAGGAAATAGCGGAACAAACAAAAGAAGTAGAGGAAAATGATGATAGTAGGGATTAGGAAAGAAAAAGCAGCAGTTCCCTGTTGTAGATCAGGCACAGTTATGAGCGTGGCATTGTTGGATCAGCCCATTTACAATTCTACTGTGCATTAGAACGAGAATCGTCATTCTCAAATAAATCGGTGAGTGTCATACAGACGTGTGGGTGGTTGGCGGGTGTTCTGGTGTTGCTTGCTTCTTCTTTCCTATCACACATCTATTGTTTTTATCTCCCCTCCTTCTTTTTTGTGTTTGTTACTCTCTTGTAACACCTCTGAACTTCGGCACTTATATGACCTTATTGTGTTGCGAGTGCCGTAAAAGTCTTACTAAAACTAACTTTTCATACAAACATGGTTCATACTCTGACAAATCGTTCATACAAACATGGTTCATACTCTGACAAATCGTTCATACAGACATGGTTCATACTCTGACAAATCGTTCATACAGACATGGTTCATACTCTGACAAATCGTTCATACAGACATGGGTCATACTCTGACAAATCGTTCATACAGACATGGTTCATACTCTGACAAATCGTTCATACAGACATGGTTCATACTCTGACAAATCGTTCATACAGACATGGTTCATACTCTGACAAATCGTTCATACAGACATGGTTCATACTCTGACAAATCGTTCATACAGACATGGTTCATACTCTGACAAATCGTTCATACAGACATGATTCATACTCTGACAAATCGTTCATACAGACATGGTTCATACTCTGACAAATCGTTCATACAGACATGATTCATACTCTGACAAATCGTTCATACAGACATGATTCATACTCTGACAAATCGTTCATACAGACATGGTTCATACTCTGACAAATCGTTCATACAGACATGATTCATACTCTGACAAATCGTTCATACAGACATGATTCATACTCTGACAAATCGGTGAGTGTCCCAGATCGTCTGGGTTTTTTGTTTGGTTTTGTTTTGTTTGTTTGTTGTTGTTGTTGTTGTTGTTTGTTTGTTTTTTGTTTGTTTTTGTTTTCGTTTTTTTTTTGGGGGGGTGGGAGGGGGTTGATGTTTTTCGGCTCCCGGAACTGCACAAGGTCATATAATTCCCTACCTACTGAAAAAGTTAATGTGTCCCGTGCGCTCGAGACCTTATGCTGTTGTGAGCGCCGTAAAACACCAAAACAAACAAAAAATAAAATAAAATTGTCAGAATAAGCAAAGATGTGTGTTGTTCTTTCGAGTAGGTATCTGTATATAACTCTAAAGGTCTTGTAAGTAAATTCCTGCATGTGGTTGAATGATGCATCTGATGTGATTTGTACATTTTGTCAGCTTTACTTCTCTTTCCGTAATGAATTTTAATGAGATTAATGTATAATTAAAATTTTTATGTATGCCTGCAATGTTTTTTACGGTCCTGTACAGCCAGGAAAAATATCTCTCTAGGATAATAAAGTATAATCTTACCTTATCTTATCTTATACTTGCTGGGCCCCCTTTCGGTGAAAGAAATGATCGGTGCATTGACATCAACTAAAAGTCATTGACCTACTATATTTACACTCTACTGGAATGGAGCAATAAATCTTGAGAGATGCAAAAAATTAGACGGTCTTGATCTAGATATATTCTCTCAAAACAAAATGCGCCTCACAAAATATCACTTCCGGCACTTCTGCTGTGAAGGACAGCTACGCAGATTTGTTTCGTTTCTCAGTGGAATAATCACAAAGGTCAAAGAAGGACGTGAACTTTTGTCAAATATATTTTTCTAAATTCAGGAAATGAATAAATCAAAAATCGGGCTCCGTCTTGGGGACCTATTAGATCTATCTTTTTGCAGGTACATCCCAAACTTTCAACTCTGTAGCTGTTTTAGCTTTATGGGGAAAATGCCACATGTGTTACCAAGTTGCCAAATCTATTCTCTATTTGTGGTGGCCGAATTTTGCTATTCAAAAGGCTTTTTAATGGCAGCATCGATCGACATGCGGTTTTCGCCAAAAAATTCTTTTAAATATTCTCCAGATCATGACGCCCTTGGTTTTTTCAGTTTTGAGACAGTTTTGCTGCAAAAGCTAAATTTCTTTATTTCGCCGATCGCTTTTGTAGGCCAACGCTTCTGTCTCTTTAATTTGAGAAAATCCGGAAGTGATATTTCGCGAGGCGGATTTTGTTTTGAGAGTATAGAACAAGACCTTCTAATTGTTTAGCATCGCTCAAGATTTATTTCCCCATTCCAGTAGCATAGAGTGTAATAGTAGGCCTATGACTTTTAGTTGATATTAAAGCACCGATCATTCATTTCATCGAAACGGGACCCAGCTTGTATATATATATAT